ATGGTTCTTCACATCATTCTGATGTAAACGTCAGACAAAAATGCTTTATTTTGGTACCATGAGGTCACCATTTTGACAAAACATTGTACTGTCAAAATAATTCACATTCAAATTATTGATAGCTAAATGCCCTCTAAAATTAAAACATATGGAACACATGCAAAGCGAACAATAGATAGTATTGTTTCCTCCTCAAACCAGTAAATTCAAAATTCAGAGTATTCCACCTTCTACAGTAAACATACACATGTGTTATTAATAAGGAAACAAGTGTTTTTTAAATATAAAGCAAAGGTAATTGGTGTCACTTATTTTGTTATCATTTGGTCCTAAAAATGTAACTTTATTTGTTGTTCCTTATGTTACCTAACATACTACTGATTTAGCATGTCAAACGTTCATGTTATTTATAATAGATGTATTAGAGTGATTCTGTGTAGTTTATGATGCAGGTACATACTTTTCTGCGTTACATGTATTCCAATAATTAACACAATTTCTGACATCCACATTACAACCTTGTCATAATTTAAGGGAGATTTTTCAGTTAGAATGCTACTTCACAAAGGTCTGAGTCATCCTGCATTTTTGCTAATTACTATCAGTTGTAGCTATTAATCCATAAAAATCTAATTTTGTGGCGAGTAACACATTGCTGATGAAAACGCAGTGAACATGTGTACAGACTATATGGTATTCCATGCATTAACATGGCAGGCAAATATTTACAAATTAATTTAAGAAAAGTGGTTTTTTTTAAAGCATGAAACTACAGTACCAAACTTTTGTTTATTTTTTTTTCTGACATAGTATCATGGTACCTGGCTAAATAGGCAGGTATTTAACTGTAAAAGGTTTGCAACAAAACAACTATAATATGGTCTAATTACTAGAAAATCATTATATCTCCATATTTGGCGGCCATTTTGGCAGACAAAATACAACAATCGCATGCAACATGTTTTGGGGCTCAGTGACATCACAAGTATCCAAACGATGCAAAAAGCTGATGAAAACTGACCAGAAATAGGAGCTGTTTGCATCAGCTATATCATTGCTTAGAATCAAATATAACACTACAAAAGCATTTAATTTGTAAGTAAAAATTGTAGCATATGGCAGTATTCCTGATGAAGGAAAAAAAAAAGAGGAATTTTTCTAACTCATAATTTATGTTATAGCTTTACTTAAAATTGACTTACCTGTGATCTGTCTTCAAATCCAAGATAGACTGCTAGTAATAACGTATTGGCATCATTACCTGTCAGAGACTTACGAATCATGTGATTTCTTGCTGGTACACTCTGAAGGTCTGTACTGTCTGGTACATGCTCTAAGACATCACTCACCATAATGCATTCATAGCTCTAGATATACAATCAATACAGCAATGCATGGATACAGATAATGATACAAAACAACTAAAACTCAACATAAACAGATTTTATTGTGTTTTGGGATCTCATACATTATACTGTATACATGTACTTGTAGACAACAGTTATTGTGAAAATAATTTTTCTAAAAGCAATTCAGAACCAGTAGGCAAATAGTCTGAATTGAAGTTTTGCCAAAGCCTATTTCAAGAGATATTATTTTATGTAAATACACTAATTACAACAAGTTAACACATTGCCAGCACACTCTTATTTTTCCCCACTGATATTGGTACATCTCTCTTTGGAGGCTTTCAGCAGGCAATGTGTATAATGCTACTGTTTTTTGCATGTTTTCATTTTAGTGCATATGGCAGAGACAATATTTCAGATCAAAATTTGTCTACAATTAATGATTTTCAAACATTAGCCAACAGTATATTGAATTGTTTAATTCACTGTCAATATGTATGTTGATAAAAACTGACAAATAACATGCATAAAATGGCATAGACCACAATGAAAACACATGTAATCATAAAAAAAATATATTTAATTTTGTAATGCTTTCAAAATGAAGCTTTATTTTATAATTTTTACAATATATGTCCTCAACCAAAATTTAGATATATTGAGATAGGAAACATGACCTAAGACTGACAAAACATGCTATTTTCAAAAATTAGTATCACTTTTGTAAATTTATTATAATATTTTATTCCCTACTTGTCTTTTCATTTTTTCCATCCTGTAAATTTAAAGAAAACAACAATATTTTTTTTTTGAGTAGCATTTTACTCTAGTGGAAACATTGTTATGTCCAAGAAAATATTTAACTAGAGTAGAAAAGATAGACAGGTGTAAAGTGCAACATGAGAATGAACATGATAATAATGTATACACATACCACACAGGACCAGACTCTGATTTTATGATCTCGACAGATAGAGAATATAAGTAAATCATTCTGCATGGGATGAATGCATAAACTCAGAGATGCATCGGAAGCCTCATGCCCACCTCTGTAGAAATAAACAAATTTTCAGATATTACTATTTGATATGACATAAATAAAGAGAACTACAATGCTCTAGTCATTATGACTGAGTACATGTCACAGGCTCAAGCAAGTACTGCACTTTAAATGACAGTTGTGTCTACTGTTTAAAACATACATGTACAATGTAAAAGCAGAGGAATCATTTATAATTTAATGGCAACAGTTGTGTTATGTGACAGGAAGTCACCTATTCCTTCTGATGATACACAGTGATACTGCGAGAACCATGCAAGAAGAGTACTAACCCCGTAGTTTTTTAAAACTTGCATTCCCACATTGTATTATATGCAGATACCTCCAATTGGTTGTGATCACCATGAAACAATGATAAAATCAGTTACTATTGCAACAAATCATTAAATATTAGAACACCGCTAACTGCATTGGAAGTAAAAGATTTTAATCAAACATTCCTTTCATTGTTGTAAACACTTAGTATTACTTATAATATTATGAAGTTTTTCTAATTTGATTTCAGGATTTTGTTTTATAAAATTTCTCATGAAATGTACAAAACAGGTCATCCTTATGGTAATTACAGTGGTCGATCATCAGGAGGTTTTTTACAGCAGGTCATACAGAATGGAAATAGAAACTTTAACTCGTGTAGAATGTCTGCTAACATGCTTTTCTAATTTCACATATTCTCTTCCACCAGATAGATACAATAAGTGTACAATGAATGAAGAGAGAATAAAATTCATGTACCTGATCATAGAAGGCACTAATCCTGTCCATAATCGTTGCATCATGCTGGCAAGTCTCAATTCATGCTGGGTTGCAATACCTGAAATTTACAAAATCCTACAGTAATGATTTAATATAAGTAAGAGCAAAGAGCATTCTGACTTCTGAAAATCAAATTTCAGGTTACGACCAAATATTTTCTTTTCATACATGATATAAAATAGAAATTGAGAGACTTGTATTACAGCAATGAATATGGGTTTTACGCAGTGAAAGCATTTGCCGTCAAAGTCTAATTTATAATAATGATAATAAGACTTGATTTTAATGAATTTCTAGACTAAAATAGCTGCCATTCAGTTGTCTAGAATTAGACTACAGAATGAATACAAATGCATATGTATCCTAGGAAGTATGACATATGTGTGATGTTTGACACTGATTAGATCAGGCATGTCTAAGATATAGATGCAGGATGGCATTCATTGAAAAATGGACACAAGTCAGCCATTTTGAATCCATTCTGAAAAACAAAATGACGTGCACCAAGAACCAATAACATCTAACGTATGTACCAAGATTGCACAAAATCCATCCATAAACGACAAAGATTCGGTTCTGGAATGCCATTGTGTACATCGAGATGACATTATGTCAAATGTATATTCGAATATAATCTATCTGAGTGACTGAGGTCTGGTTCAAGAATGACAGATATGTTTGATTTTGATAAATTTTCAGCCATCATGACTCAGATCCCAAAATAAATATACATGCATAATTATGTATCTTGCATTGTATGTCCAAGATATTGATGCAAACATACAATGCATGCATGCACAGAAGTAAACTTCCCCACTTCAATTATCAATTCAAAATAGCATTCCAATGATGAGTACTTGTGGTATACTAACCTTGTATGCCCAATGGTGGAAGTTTAACAACCAAGATATTGCCCACATTGGTGGCTAGACTGAATACTGCTTCGCCTTCATTAGTCAAAAATGATGCACTGGTGTGTGGTTCATGCACCTGACTACCTCCTTGAGACAGGAACTGTGTGTTGCTAGGATCCTGTATCATAGCAACCGACACATCAGCAAAGATGGAGGGCATTGATACAGGAGTACTGAGAGGCAGCTGTTGACAGAATCATGTACATTATC